TAACAGCAAATGTACAATGATGACAAAACCTTGTCGAAACATTGTACATTTGCTGTTATGTTAAACTTATAGTAAAGGTTTTCTTCATTACCCATTCAAGCCATCTCCAGCCATTATAAGTCATAAAGAGCTCCTTGGCATGATCAAGTTCTACTGATTATGTAATGAGGGTATTAGTGAGATATACAGTTCCACAGTTATTGATAGATTAGACAACTTTGCTTTGTTGGAGTAAATAAACTTATCTAATTTTCAAAAAGAACTTATCATATGATCATCAAGCACTTACTTGTAGCTAAGACTTTGAGAAGAGAGAAAATATTCACTGGAGTAGTCTCGGAAAAGATTTACAATAAACTTTTTGTAATGAGGTATCATAAAAATGGCAACATCATTGAGTGAAAAAGCAAACAAAAAACAACTTTTAAAAAGTCTGATAAAAGATGTTTTGCAAGATCATTGTTCAAGTCAAATATCTTGCCAGTGAGCCAACATGGCATATCAAAGGGAAGATAATGCCTTACTAATTTTCTATGATGATGTTACATATTATCTAAATGATTGAAAAAAATTTAGTTTACTTGGGTTTTAAGAAGAGTTTTGATAAAAGGCCTCATAAAAAAATTGGTAAAAAAATGTCAGTTGGAGTATGGAACAGGTTAATTAAATGTACCTGTGTTTGAATGGATGGGAGGAGGCAAAAAAGTTGTTATTAGTAGATTTCAAACTAACTAGGTTAATATTACATGTGGTATGCTTTGAGGATCTAAGCTAGGACAATCGCTAACCATCATTCATATTAATGGCATTGATAGATGGGAAAATTGGTTAAGTTTGTTATAAACATTTTAGGTCAGGCTGGCTGTTGTGAAGACACTATGATTCTACAGAGACTTACAGTACATTCTGATTAGCTGGACAACACATGGAGGATGGCATTTTGTTATGATAAATGTAAGGTTATGCAAGTGGATTAGCATAATATAAATTACACATACTATAATTACTTGGATGAGGAAATAAAACTGAAACATCAGATTTTCCAAGAGTAATAGAATAATTAATTTTAAAAGGTTGGACATCCCCACTTCAGGCTGTTTCATTTCTCTAATAGGATATTAAACCTGTGGAGAAAACTACCACAGGAAGTGGTGGAGGATGCTACTTGACAGAATTTTAAGAAAACCTTCTAATAGTCAGGACAGAAGTTATCTATATGGATGTAAACAGTGTGAGGAAAATTATTCTGAACCCATTTTGTCCCATGGGACAAGAAAATTCATAAATGTAGAATTTGTATAAATTGACTGAATTATACATTAAATTGTATTGTTGCCTGTAAATAACAACATACATGGAACCTTATTCTCTTACTTTGTATTGCTAAAAAATTTATAGTTTTTGTATCCAACCAATTTTAACTTGTTTTATATGCATTAACATATGAATTTAGGGCACTGGTAGGAATGCAGGATTTTGATATAATGTGAATAATTCAAACTTGATTAAATGTAGATGATTTTGATGACAGAAATTTCTTTGAAATACAGGGTTATAGGTTATTTAAAAGGGATAGAGTACTAAAAACAGGGGAGGAGTGGCTTTACATGTAAAATGTGTTAGATCCTGTTGAAGTTGAGGATATCAAAGATTATAGTAAAAAGATTGGATCAATTTGAGTTTCTATTAGTGGATATAAAGAGAAAAAGACTTTTAGTGGGAATTTGTTACAGACCAACAAATGATGAAATTAGTGAGAAATTTTACAGTGAGATTAAAATTTCAGCTGTTAATGAAGTCATAATCATGGATGATTCTAATTTCAGACATATAGATTGGAAAATACTAAAGTCAAACCATGAGGGAGAAATGTTTTGGAAAACTGTTCAAGATGTTGTTTTTTTCACCATTTGGTCAAAAACCTACCAGAAACAATGATATTTTAGATTGATTGTTAACTTTTAATACAGAAATGGTTGAGAGTGTGGAAATTAAGGAATATCTTGGTGCAAGTGATCATTGTTTTTATTAGGTTCAATGTTTTGCTGCATATGGAGATCAAGAATAATGATATTGTGGTTACAAATTTCAAAGAATTAAATTTTGAAGGGATGCAACAATAATTATTTGTCGTGAATAGGGCAGCTGAGTTATTTGGAGACACTGATCACATGTAAAATATTTTTAAAGATAAATTTTTAAATATTCAGGATAAACATATTCCTTACAGAAAGAAAAGGGTATGTGCCAGTAAAAAACCAGGTTGGCTCACAAAGGGTATAAGGGATAAAGTTAAAGAAAAGCATCACAACTTTACGAAATTTAAATTGACTGGTATGATGGGAAATTCAGACGATTATAGAAGATCAAGGAAGTTAGAACATCAAAAAGGATGTATGAGAAAAGGTTGGCTGAAAATGTAAAAATTAACAGCATGGGTTTCTTTAAATACATTAAGTGTAAACAAAATATTAGGATAAGGGTAGACCATTGAGGGATGATAAAAAAGGCTTTTTCTTCAGTTTTTACTATGTAAGATTTAAGCAGTATTCCTCATTTTGAACAGTTGATAAATGAAAACAAGATCGACCAAAATGATCACATAAATTCTGAGCTTTTTAAAAAAAAAATGGGTATCCTAAAGAATGATAAGACACCTGGGCCAGATAATATTTCCCCAATGGTTTTGAAGGAGGTTATAGATTGGATACGTGAGCCACTTGCTACGGCCAAGATTTGTAAGTCCTTGAATACTGGGTAGGTGCCAAAGGATTGGAAGTTAGCTAATGTCCCAGTAATTACAAACCTTACATGGGAAACGTTTTGAAAAGTCTGATAAAAGATGCTTTGCAAAGTCATTTAACAAAGTTTCAAAATTTATTGGATAATCAACATAGTTTCATCTTGCCATACAAATCTTTTGACATTTTTTGAAAAGATTATTGCTTATGTAAATGAGGGTAAGGGTGTAGAATAGGTGTATCTGGATTTTCAAAAAACATTTGACAAAATGCCACATAAAAGGCTTGTAAAAAATATGATCTCTATAGGTGTGGGGGATAAGTTGACTAATTGGTTGTTATAAATGCAGTTCAGTCAAACTGGATTAATGTCATAAATAGGGTACATTAGGGCTCAGTCTTAGGATCTTCGCTCTTTTTGATTTACATTAATGACATAAATGAAGGAAAGATCAATAAATTACTTACATTTGCTGACGATATTAAGGTTATTGTTGTTCCTAATAGTAAAGATGATGTTGCTGCTTTACAAAAGGATTTACATCATTGAGTAAGTAGGGCAAATAAATGGCAGATGGGTTTTAATTACAATAAATGCAAGATAATGCATGTGGATTATCATAGTTTAAATTATAAATATAATTTGGATGGAAATAACCTAAACAGTGTCATGAAAGAAAGGGATCTTTGTGTAATAGTTAATCAATCTCTTAAGCCATCCAAGCAGTGTCATATTACTAGTGGTATGGCAAACAGGATTTTAGGTTGTATCTACAGAAATATTAAATACAAATCTAAATAGGTTATAATTTCATTGTATAGGACACTGATTAGGCTACATTTGAAATATGATGTTCATTCTTGGGTTCCTTACCTTAGGAAGGACACTGTATTGTTGGACGGGGTTCAGAGTAGGGTTACTAGAATAGTACCTAGGATGGAGGGGTTTTCATTTGAGGAGAGGTTAAGATCTCTGAAATTGTCATATCTTAAAAAAAGAAGAGTTAGGGGGAATCTGATTGAGGTGTTTAAGATTGTAAAATGACTTGATTATTTGAGGTAACATCTTTTTCTCATACTTAACAGTAATAACAGTAGGACCATGGGACACAAAGCAGGGATCATCTTCAGCTAAGACAGTTTTATTTTTCTAACAGGGTGGTTAGCCTCTAGAATGGGTTGCCTTCAGATGATGTGGAAACAGTAAATTTAAGGAAAAGCTTGATAACTATATGAATGATAAGGGTTAGCTTGATGATATATTTTCTAAATTAATATATTTAATAGTTTTAGTTTAGTTTAAAGGATGGGATAATTGAAATGGGCCAATAGATCCATTGTTGTCCCTAAACATTGTTATTTTTATAATTTTTTTGGAGGACATTTTTTTTGCCCACTGAAACAATCACAGAAACAAATAAAAAACATAAATCTTTCATGATCTATAATCACAATCAAACACCACTGTGTAACATACTAAAGATCATGATAACAAGAATTCCAAGTGAAGAGAATATATATACTAGAGACAGCTGATATGGGTATTAGAAACATTTATTTAAAACACAAAATAAGTAACAATGTTTCAACCTCCATTGGTCATCATCAGATTAAAAATAACATTTGAAAAAGTGACCATTACTGATCACACGTCATGTAGAGGAAGGTAATGGTCACTTTTTCAGTAACATTCTTAACTGATAGAGGTCAAAAACATTATTACTTGTTTTGTGTTTTAAATAAAAGTTTTAATACCATATCAGCCATCTCTACTATATACATATATATACTAAAGATCACCATGCTAGCGAGTGCTCAGTATTGTTACCTAACTTCTTGGAGTACAGGAATATTTCTATAGCTTTCAGAAGGATGTAATATAAAAAAACCATTATTAACAATAAAAAAATTTCACAAGAAAAAATAATAAATTTCCAGATCTCTTATTACCTAGGATGTATTTTTAAAATCTACCTTTAAGTCCTTGAAAACTTTTGTGAACATTTATTTAAGATAAATACTCTCCACAGAACTGCTAGTTATTACCTCAAGCTACTGCTGAAAGGGCTTTTGACCATGCACCAAGATTTGAATGAAACTCCTACCCTACATGTATTAACATATATTATGATGCAATCAGCATTAGACTATAGCTCTCCACCAATAGGAGAGCAATACATCCTTCCTGTGCAGTAAACCCCATGAGCACCTCTTATATTAACAAAGGCTCAGGTGGGAGGTTCTAAAGAGAGGTAAGTATCTACTTGAAATACATTTTCACATGTAGAAAATGTTAACTTCAGAAACACTACTCACTTCTTCACAGAACTGATAGCTAAAATCCAAAAGGGTTCAGTGTAGATAAAGAAATCTGAAGAAGATCACTTTTGTGATAACATTTCATTTTCAGATACTACATTAACATTTTCCTTAATTGAAAATGTATTTCTGATAGATACTCACCTCCATACACAGATAGCTACTTAGCTCTTGAAGTTGCACTAATCTGCCTGAGAAACTTGTATGCCACCACTCTGGTGAAAACTCCCATCTAAATTTCACATGAAACATACAAATTTGAGCTACTGCATGA